CTATAAATCTTACTGGTCTCTGGTGTCAATTGATTAATGTTTCGGCCGGGCTTGTTGTGGTTTCTCTGAGTTCCCAGGTTAAAAAACCGAACAATACCTGTGTGTGTTACCTCAAGTCAGCAAAGGATGTTTGGCTCAAATTTTTCCAGCAGTTCTTCCAGTTTTACATGTAGAGAGTCCCAATTTTAGCTTTAAACAGTCTTGGTTTTCCAAGACATGTTTGCTGCTGAGGTGGTGAAACAAATTGTTTGTGTTACCGCCTGTAGCAACAACTTTGCTACGACAGAGTGTGCAGAATAACATCGTTGAAGTAATATCCAAGCTTTAAAAGTCGAAGTTCTTCCACACAACAGAAACCACACCCTTTTTAGGCACAAGTTCTTCTTGGCTATAAACTTCAGCTGTTCCGTCTGCCACATCTTCTCTTTTCAAACCTTCTGTGTCCATCTCTACTAAACTCAACACCTCCAACTACAAGCTTTTCTTGTGCCCAGCTCTTGAATAGGAGTTCAATAGAAAAATGTCCCACTGGAAAAAGTTTATTGGCAGGTGCGATGCTCTGAATGGCGTTCAGACTATTTAAAGGAGACATATGATGTTTTTAAATTCTTTTTTCATATTTATATCATTCAGTTGGTGTCTTTTTAAAAGTTGAACTTCAATGCTTTGGTCTGAATTCGCAAAACTTTTTATTTACAAATTAATTAAAAAATGTCAACAATGGAAGCGTTGCCCATCCAGTTTTACATGTTGGAGCCAGAGAAGAATTAATGAGTTGAATTTGTATAGATAAATTTGCCAAAGCATGAAAATAATAATTCTGGGTGGAGAAGAAAATGTAGCTGACTTTAACAAACACAAGCTGAAAGGTGCACAGAAATATGTCAAAATTTGGTCAAATGTCAAGAAAGTAGCACAGAAAAGCTGGACTTACTAAAGATGTAGCTGAGAATGGAAGAACAATGCTGAAATTAACAAAACAAGTTACAAGCAAAAATGAATATAATAAAATGAAACTGAAAATAATGGATAAAAAGCTGAAATTTGAAAAAAAATTTAGTTTGAAGCACAAAAAAAGGCTAAACATAGCAGTTAGCAAGAGATGTGAACAGAGTAGAAATGTAGATGAAAAGAAACAAGCTTGACTGAGCATTTATTTGAGATTTGTTATCTCAATGTGATTAGCCTGCTAAGTGAAGACGATAATAATAAAACGTTTTTTAACGAAGCACTACCATTACCATACAGATTGTTGGTCTTTGTGTGAACCAAATTATGCACAAAATAACCCATTCCTTCTGGGTGATTAATGTTTTTTGTCAGTGAGTATATTTGTACTCAACAGAGATCAACATGTTGTTTCTTTTTGTCCAGGGCACAGCTATCACTACAAACCTAGCCTCTGTGCTGTTGGATAAAAATGAGTGGGAGACTCCAGACGTCTTTAATCCTGGGCATTTCTTGGATTCAGAGGGAAAGTTCCTCAAAAAAGATGCCTTCTTACCATTTTCAGCAGGTTGTTCTTCAGCTGTTTCGTCCTTAATGTCTGTTTTGTTGATTGCATCATTTTGTTGCCACCAACAGTGAAGACAGTGAGCTAACTTTCTCTGTTTCCCTGCAGGTAAACGTGKGTGTTTAGGGGAGAACCTGGCCAAAATGGAGCTGTTCCTTTTCTTTACGACTCTTCTCCAACGCTTCACCTTCGCTCCTGTTCCAGGAGAAATGCCCAGTTTGGAGGGTGTGATGGGCTTCACTTATTCCCCAAATGAGTTCAGGATGCTGGCCGTGCCTCGCTGATGGTTTTGCAACCACACAGCAAGCACCGCTGACATTTTTTTTTGATTCTTTTGAGTCCAGGTTGTTTAAAACCTCCATGAAATGGAAAACCTTCAAACTACAACCATTCTTCTGAGTCCAGAAGTTGTTTTTTTTTGGCATTTTAGACTTTGCTCTGAACAGTTTAATGACTTTTATATGGTCATTTTGCAGGTATACGGACATATAGAGCAATCTCATAGATTTTGTTTCATGATTTACAGGTTTTTCCAAAAACACAGTTTTAAATTTATGTAGGATGTTACAAAAATTAATAACATCAAATATCCATTTCCAACCCACTCAGCTGCAAGAAAAAAGTTATTCCGTCCTCCCTTCCTTCTGATTTGCTGCAGCCGACAGTCCACCTGAAAGTTAAACAGATTTTTGAGGCTCATCATACAGGTAAACGTCCGAAGGTGTTGACATGTTTGCAACTTATTTTGCACAAAAGTACATGCAGGGAAAGAAATATTAATTTTTCTATTACAGTTAAACATAATAAATCCAAAGGTTTCCACCACACTCATAATAACCATTTATCAAACCAGTGTGATAAAAATGTCCTACTGGTTAATAAAGGAACTACACATAGTTTGTATGATTAAGTAAAAAATATGATTTGCTGCATTTTTAACATCTTAATTTATTTTGTTCTTTAATAGTAAAACTGTTTTTGTCAGCATAAAGTCTGAAATGTGCCTCAAACATTTATCTACTTACTATGTAACCTAAAGAGCATTTTGTTCTCATGTTACACAAGCCGTTCTGTGAACTTTGTATCTTTTGATAATGTTTTGTAAGATTAAACAGGTTTTTGACGAGTCATTAATCAATATTCTGTGAACTCTGTAGCTCTGGGCAGTCATGGGGAAATTTAGGTGTGGCTTAGTAATTAACATTTGTATTATTATTTAATATTACCTTCAAAAGCATGACTTCTGACACACTTGCCTGGTGCTGTATATTTTAAAGACAAAGTTTTAAAAAGAGATTAATAGTAACTAAAGTTTACATATGACACTTTTGTGCTTTATGTTAGTCTAATGATTGCACATGAGTTATTTAATACAGTTCTACCATTCACAAGAAGATAAAGTTACACATTAATAAGGCTTACACGTGATTACTAATTGGTTTTAGTTTCCAAACAAGTCCAACTCATTTAAAGGTCATTTGCACCATAATGGCCTTTGCTTCTGCTGTACTTTGTATTGTTGTCTGCTTACTTTACAACATTTACCTCCCACTAGTGTTGGCACAATTCATGGCAAAGGTGGAAGATAAAAAAGCAGGTGAGATGTAAACAGTTTTTAGTAGGTAATTCTAAAATCTGTTTAAAATTCCCTCACCATCTGCATTAAACACGGTAGTCCTTTCCATACAGGGCCTCACCTGCGCTCACTGAGTTAATTAAGAACATAATTTAGTGTAAACGCTGTTGAACTGCTCTCCCACACTTTCACTCTCTTTTTTCCCTCTCTCTAAAGAATACAGATGTGCATCACACATCCACCTTGTCACCCACGTTCATGCAAATTAAACACCTGTCCATTCAGGTGGTGTCTTTAAGGTTTATTCTCTTGTTACGATCCGGGTCAGAACTAGCAAAAGGTTACAACCTCTGTTGTTCCCCACTGATAAACTGAGCTATTTCTAAATACAACAGAGGTTATCCTTACACTACACATTAAATTATACCTAAATATTTGTGAACCTGACTGAATTTTAGCCATTTTTGTGTTGAATTATGTTGATTAGTTGTTGCAACCATCTTGAATCGAGGTGACTTCATAAGTTAATTGGATTTAGAGGTATGTTCAAATAGTTTCATTATTTAATTTTGTCCTGAGGATCGTGAGATAATTTGCTAACAAAAACAGGCTAGAATGTAACAGTTGATTATGTTTTATACAATATTATATGCAGTGCCTCTGGTATGTGTTTCTACCACACCAAACCTTAGCTTAATATCTGTAAAAATAGTTATCGACATATTTGTTTCCTAAGGTGATGGAGCTAAATCAGTAACAGCTTACACTGACATTGAATAAAAGATTTGGCATTGAAAAATAAAACATTGAAAAACAAAACATTGGAACCTAAAACCTTGACAATGAAAAACCTATGATATTTTTATTTTACACTCCAGATTTTATTTATTTTTTCAGTTTAACAAGTTACAATGCCAATGCAAATCTGGTACTGTTTTGATGTTGGGGGCGGGGCTTAACCAAAGACTCCTTCGAGGAAGGTTCTGGTTCGAGTATTGCTCCTCAGGTAAGGGTCATTGTTTTTATGATTATTATCATTACAGTAGCTGCAGAAACTGACAAGTGATTCAGTTTTACTTTTAAAATAAGCTAATTTGTGACTTATATTTCGGCAGAATCCATCTACCCTATTTGCTACTAGTGGACTATTGGTATACAGAGATTGTTCAGCTCAGCCAAACTCGTTCTGCCAGTGTCATTGTGCATTTAAAATCGATTTTTGCATGTCATGGAATACCTGAGACATTGGTCACAGACAATGGCCCACAATTTGCAAGTCAGGACATGAAGGACTTTGCAGATGAATACTGTTTTGAGCATGTGACCAGCAGTCCTAGGTACCCCTAATGCAAGGTGAGGCAGAGAGGGCTGTCAGATCAGTCAAAGGTCTCCAGAAAGCCAGTGATCCATACTGAGCTCTATTGGCCTATACCACTGCGCAGGCCAATGGCTAAAGTCCAGCTCAGCTCCTCATGGGACATAGACTCTGTACCACCTTACCAATAAGGTAACCAATAAAACACCAGGGTCTTTGCTACCATGTGTGCCAGATCTGCAGCACATACGTCACGTGGAGAAGGAGAGAAGGATGAGACAAAAATAATGTTTCAACAGAAGACACAGGACAAGAGATTTGGACAAACTACTACCGGGGCACTCTGTTTGGATTACAGATGCAAAAACCCAGAGCATGGTGACATCTGTCCAACCAAATCCCCATTCTTATGTCATCAGTGGGCCACACGGGACAGTCTGAAGGAACCGGAGTCATCACATTCCTGTGCCAATACGAGGGGCTCAAACTGAACCGATTTAGTCTAACGTAAAAAGCAGTGCTGGCTCTAGCCATTTTGGTGCCCTAGGCG